GCACACACAAAAATATGTATTTACATTTATTTTACATCCAATCAATCTGAAGGTTAAGTAAAATCAAAGTGAATTTAACAATGGCTGTGTCCACATAGTAAAAAGTAAAATCAAGATTTAGTAGTTCCTTGGCTGGTTTGATCTGTGTAATGATAAGTTTTTTAAAAATGAGTGTAGAATGTATAGTTTGAGGCTTGTTTTATGAAACTGGCCGTCCTTAAGGGTCAGAGACAGCGATCAAATGGTCACTTTCCCCTGTGCTGTGTACTCAGACAGGTGAGGATTTCACAGCAGAAAATGATACACTTGTCCAATGGAAATGGAACTCACAGTCCATCGATCACCCTTCAGGATGAAATCTAAATTCCTTGGCATGGCTCTCTGGAGCCCCTCCCACCCTCCAGTCACCTCCTTCTAGCCCAGCGGTTCTCAACCTGTGGGTCGCGACCCGACCCCTTTGGGGGTTGAACGACCTTTTCACAGGGGTCACCTAAGACCACCGGAAACACATATATAATTACATATTGTTTTTGTGATTAATTACTATGCTTTAATTATGTTCAATTTGTAACAATGAAAATACATCCTGCATATCAGATATTTACGTTACGATTCATAACAGTAGCAAAATTAGTTATGAAGTAGCAACGAAAATAATTTTATGGTTGGGGGTCACCACAACATGAGGAACTGTATTAAAGGGTCGCGGCATTAGGAAGGTTGAGAACCACTGTTCTAGCCCCTTCCCTTCCTCCCCACCATGAGCTGCAGCCTTCAGGACTACTTTTGGTGGACAACACCCTTTACCTGCTTGTCCCAATCCCCACTTCTTTTTTTTTTCTTTCCTTCAGCTCACACTTCAGACCTCGCTTCCATTCCAGACCACCGTTCTTCCCATGGGGATGGTTATGTGTTCCCCTCCCCCCATGTTTCTATAACACCTGAGCTTTACCTCATCAAGGCTCCCCGGCCTGTAATGAGTTTGAATTAGCTGTCTGTAGCCCACTCTAAGCCCCGTGGAGACAGCCACAGCTGTCTGTCTTATTCACCTTTTATACGTATCATTCAGCAGCAGCTCAATAAATAATTGTGGAATAAGTGAAAGAAATGGGAAAACATGCTTAAGAAAAAGATCTAAGACAATCTTTTACAGGAGTGTTTACTTTTTAAGAAGAAACTGTATCTTTATAAACAATGTATATGTGCACACCTTGCTACATTTTACGTTGGTTGTCACAATGTACATTTCTATAAAGAAACTGGCAAGTCATCTTTGCCGCCTATAAGCAACATTTCTTAAGTGACACTCTTCCCAGGGTTACTGGCTTTCAGAAACCTGGGTGGAGAGGATCATGCCTGTTTCTCACGGAGTCTCCAAAATCAACGAGTTGTCAAAAGAGTTGTCCATAGGGCAGTGGTGACACCAACATGCCATCTCAGTGCCCGTCCTGGAAACCAGAGGCTGCTCCTGAGCTGCTGCTGCTGCTGCAAAAGGAGCTGTCCATAGCCTGCAGACAGCGTAACACCTACTTAGAAACATCTCTCTCAGCCAAGATAATGCCGAGGGGAGGATGACTACAGAGTAGCACACACAATACGTGTCCTACAACTCACTTCTGCCAAACTGTGTCAGTCCACAACTTTCTGTGTATATGTATGTTTAAAGTAATCACATTCATCGAAATATAAACAAGGATTACCTCTGGGCTGAGATTCCAAATGACATTCTTTTTTCTCCTTTGTAAAAAAATTTGTCAATTACAGTTGACATTCAATATTATTTCATATTTGTTTCAGGTGTACAGCCTTGTGGTGAGACACGATTTACCAAGTGGTCCCCCGACAAGTCTAGGACCTGCCTGGCACCATCCACAGTTCTCATAGGATTTTTGACAATATTCCCTATGCTGTACTTTACATGCCCATTTAGTTTCTTTGCATTTTTCTTTTTAACTTTTATAATGAGTAACTATAATTTTTATAAAAGCAATCAAGTTGTTAAGGGAAAAGTTTTTTTTCTCCATAATTATCTCCTCTCTAACCTTAATTATATTTCACTTTCACTGTGATTTCTTTTCTTTCTCACTACTGTCTTGTCTGTGGAAATATTAAAACAACGTCGGCCATACTATCATGACTCTGGACTGTTACTATCCGTTTCAGAGTCCTATCCTCCCTCCCCAGGAACAACTGCCATTAAACAAAGTAAAAAGGTTTTTCCAAATGAAAATGAATGGTATTGCTCAGTCTTCCCCTAATCCCTTTTTGTTGTTGTTAATCCTCATCTGGGGATATTGTTTCCATTGCTTTTTAGAGAGAGTGGGAAGGCGCAGCGGGTGTGGGGAGTTGGCGATGAGAAAGAGAAACATCAATATGCCATTGATTGGTTGCCTCCCACATGTGTCACCACTGAGGCCTGGGTTCGAACCTGCAACCCAGGTGCTGCTCTTTACCCAGAATCCAACCTTCAGTGCAAGGGCTGGTCGATCTAACCAGTGAGCACACCGGCCAAGGCCATCTTTCCCCTAATCATAATAGCTATTCCAGTATTCTGCCCTGGACAAGTGGCCCAGTTGGTTGGAACATCCTCCCCATATGCCAATCAATGAGTCTCTCTTATCATTGATGTTTCCATCTCTCCCTTCCTCTCTGAAATCAATAAAAGTATATTTTTAAAAAAGAATCAACCAATGAATGCATAAATAAGTGGAACAACAGGTCAATGTTTCTCTCTCATTCTTTCTCCCTTCTTCTTCAGTGGTTCTCAACCTTCCTAAGGCCGCGACCCTTTAATGCAGTTCCTCATGTTGTGGTGACCCCAATTTCATTGTTACAAATTGAACATAATTAAAGCATAGTGATTAATCACAAAAACAATATCTAATTATATATGTGTTTTCCGATGGTCTTAGGCAACCCCTGTGGAAGGGTCATTCGACCCCAAAGGGGTCGCGACCCACAGGTTGAGAACCACTGCTCTAGGTTAATAAATAGACACATTCATGTCCACCAGCTGGTGCCCCGCCTAGCACCTATGAGAAGTTGTGTTCCTTTGGTAGAATCTCTCTCCCGCGAGAGGCTCTATATTCCTGTCATCTCTGTACTCCTCATTACACTGTACCTTGTGGGTGCTCAATAAATATTTGTTAAACCGAAAAAGAAGCAATCATTTACTCCAACAGGCTCTACACGAGGAAAGGAGGGAGCGAGGATGGGGAAGAGACTTACCTTCTAAGGGTGGAGGGTGATGTGGGAGGGCCCCAACTTCAGACACTTGGGTTTTCTACCTTCCTCACCACTTTCACTCCTCTGGGTCCGTTTCTATCTGTCTATAAGCTGTCGGCTTCTTTCCCTCCCTCGCCTTGTCCTGTCTCTGCCAGATCAGTGACCTCACTGTCACTGGGAGGAGTTGTCACACTCTGTGGCCTCACACACCTGCAACCTGAAAGATAAACAGACCAACAGACACCCGAAGGCCCCCCGATGAATAGCAGGGACGGAGAAGGCAGCCAAGGCGGCGAAGGCAGACAGGGAACAGCCTGGCTGGCGTCAGACGGGTCCGGCACACGCTTCCCCGCAGACAGACAGCACAGCGGGGGCCACGGCTAAAGCAGTGGGTCTGTGTTTTCACCTGACTCCTTCCTCTTGTCTCCAAAGTTTAAGTGAAACCGGGGCCTGGCGCATAGGCCTGGCCCTCATCACCGGACCACCAGGCCTGACTTCTGCCTGCCCCCAGCCCCTACGGACTCCAACCATCCTCTGTGACCTCATTCCCCGCTCAGGGTTCCACGTGCCATTCTGTGAGGTCATCAAGAGAAGATCCCTTTCAGCTTCCCACCCTCAGAGGCCCCAAGAGCAGGTTCCCTGACAGATCCGTTTGGGGTGGTTTCAGGCTGGCGCTCTCAGCAGGTCACCCGGCCCTGCCTCTGGAGGGCGGATGTCTCCAGACAGCAGGTGATGCGCCCTTTTATCCACTGACTCCTTGAGGAGCTTCGAAGGTCGGCATTTCCACCCTGCTGCTGGGCCCCTCTCCGCAGGCCATGGACGACGGAGCCCCCTCGGTGCGGGAGCTGCCCCAGCGGCTGTGGCCGGGCCAGGGCAGCGAAGAGCAGCACCTCCTGCGGAGCCTGGAGGCAGCGCA